AGGGGGTCCGATTAGAGATGCTCGTATGTAGTTTACTAGCAAACATGCATGTGCGTAGCAACGGGAGAAAAAACATCACCCCTCATACACACACTTGACGAAATCAGCAAATCCATTGTAATCTTTCACGATGCCATATAACAAACAACATAATAAGTGGTGTTGCGCAAAAACAGTGAGATTATTTGTGAGTGTACTCAAGGTATTTCTAAAAATATTTATGGGCGGAATTTCAAACAATATGGAAATCAATGTTAAGCCATTTGTTTACATAAACCTCATATCAGCAGTTTAGTGTACATCATAGTATATGGGTTGATTATTGTGCACTGTGCAAAATAGAGAAGATGATTATGTATGTATTGTAACCGACTTGTACTTTAATCTTTATGATATGAATAAGACACGTATTACCATGCAAAAAAAATATCCCCTGTGGTGCCAATAATATCTTCTTTGAGAGCATCAAACTATCACATCTACTCAATTTAAGTGAGGTAGAAAACATATATAATAGTTATTTCCAAAATACCACATATAAAGAAGGTATCAATTAAGGTTCCACCATAAATGCAAATTTTAGATATGATTAACATGCAAGATAATACTAGCATATTTAAAATCCACACATTTTTCTTAGGGATTCCCATATATAACACGTTAGACTTCGAGTTAGCGATTGAAAGAAATGAATATTTTGAAAAGCAATTAAATCTGCCCAAAAAAAGAAAAGAGAAAGGTTAAACAGGGAGTTGTTGGGCCAAAATTCTAACATTGTGCAGCCCATCTACTAAGAATTAAGAAAGAAAAGAAAAAGAAAAAGTAAAATGGGACGACCCATATGCTAAGAATTCATAGAGAAAAGAAAAACAAAAAGGGTATAACCTAGGATCAAACCCAGGTCTCCACGGTGAACGTTTTTCTCAAAATCACAGATTTTTTGAATTCATGGACATTTTTCAAATCCATGAACCTTTTTGAATTCATGGATTTGTTTTTGCAGTCAATCATTGACCGAAAGTGAATCATCGCGCCGTGAGCGATCGATCGCGTTGCTTCGATGGGTCGGCCCATATCTGCACCTACATGGTCGTCAGAACCCCCAATAGGCATAGAAGGCGCCGATTAAGAGGTCCAGCTGAATACTGCGGCCCTCATAGTATATTAGATACTAAATGTACATATATGAGGTTCTAATTATAGAAATGTCAAGAAAAAAGCTATGAAAATATCCCAAGATTCAAAATATGTTTGTAGATTTAAAAAACTAATCATGTCATTAAAACATGTTCGTGCATTTAAAAATTGTTCATGTATTGTAAAACAGTTGTTCCCACAAGTTTTAAAAATGTCCGCGACATTTTAAAATGTTCAACCTTTTTAAAAATTATGTTCATGAAATTTGGAAAATAATGTTCATCATGTATTTAAAAAAATATTCACATGTCAACAAGAAAGTTGAAATGTGTTTTGAAAAAATGATGAACTTGTATTTCGAAAATTGTTCATCATGTATTTTACAAAAATGTTCAAAGTGTATCTGAAAAATCTTTCAGATGTATTGAAAAGATGATCAATGTGTAATTGAAAAATATTTTATATGCATTTGGAAAAATATTCCTTGTGCATTTGAAAAATATTAAACGTTTATAGATAAATATTCAGCGTTTACAAAAAATATATTAATAAACTTGACATGTATTCAATAAGTAAAAGAAAAGGTAAAAATTGTAAAATATGAATAGAAAAATATATGAAAACCGATTAAGGGTTTCACGAACAGGTGCAAACCTTCGCAAAACTAATCGTCTACGTGTAATTAGACCGGTCAATCTTACCTCTCGCGTATTGCGAGAAGGAACTTTGTCTCCGTGGGAGCTATATCTCGCCAATAGGGCTATCGCCAGATGGGCCGTCCAATATGGATTACTTGAGAGTGGATTTACGAAGCTTTTATGACCGATTAGGTCATGTTTAGAAGCTTCCGCCCGTGTTTTTATGTTGGTTTTCATGGATTTTGTTTTCAGTTTTCTGTGTTTCTTCACCCGTTTTTTATTGTTTTCTTTTTTTGTTGTTTTAGTTTTGTAATACATGTATACTTTATGAAAAACACATTCTACAATTTTTGTATATACCAGGAATATTTTTGATACATATACATTTTTCAAATAAATATTCTGAGTATGTTTTGAATATGTGTTAAATATTTTTTTAATTATACATTGAACATATTTTTTAATGATATGATACGTTTTTAAAACTATGTGACTAGTTTTGTACATTGTATAGACATTGTTTGAAATGTCATGTACATTATTAATGCGCCAACAATTTTTTATATGTCGCGTACATTTTTCGAATTGCACAGAACATTTTTAGAGTTACATGAGTATTTATTTTACATTGTATAAATAAGATTTTGAAATGACACAAACATTTTTTGAAACAC